TTTGCACTCACCAAAATTGTAAAAAGCACTTCAGCAGATACAGTTTTTTACGGCAAGTAAGAATAATTGACTTTGAAGGTTCTGTAGTGCGACCAGGCTAGGCTATAAAGCGGTTTTCCAAAACAACGTTTTTTGCCTAAAAATCGCGATTTTTTCGAATTTTTATGTTTTCTCAGGGAAAACGCAGGTGATATTCGTGATCAGTGCCAAATTCTGCGTCGAGTGATGTATCTTACAAATGAATTCAAAAATAGTGCTTGATCTTTGAATTTGGAGCGCCTTATATTCGTTCATTCACTTCGATTTCTTCTCTTCGAGGCAAACTTACTGGCTCTAAATGGATTGAGAGCGAGCACGAACGGTCGAAATGAAAAGATAACAACAAATATACTAACTACTTTATATAACAGATAAGCGTTAAGAATAAACAAATGCACTAAAGTTCAATTTGTTCTTTTGTAAATGCATTGTGTTTTACTAATGTTTTTGAGTATCAACTAAGGTCTCGTTCTGACTTAAGTTTGTCCTAACTCTATAAAAAATGATCTAAAGTTAAGTATCAACTCAAGGCAAGTGTGGAGATATCGTAAGACACTGCTGAAAAATGATGTACTATTTGGTGCAGAAAAAAGCTGTGTGAAAAATTAGAAATATTACGAATACGGTATATTGTTTAATAAAACAAACCTTTCTGAACCAAACATTAATTGACAATTCGTAATATTTACTATTTATTCTAGGTTTTAAACTGTTGCAACTCAAATTAAATAATAATAATAATAATAAATAGTCTTTTGTTGACCTAGAAGTAAGTAAGAATAGAACTTGAGATATTTTTTATTTGAAACAAAGTGATAACACAGTGTCATTAATTTACATGGTGTACAACCAACCAGCTTTACTCAAAAAAAGAAAAAATTTGATCGAAAATAACCATCACATTCACTTTCTCAAATATTACATTAGAAAAAAGTATCAACATAAAAAAAATAGTATTAACAAAGACAAAAAAAAACAAACAAACAAAATAACAGAGATAGATACAAAGAAAATCTAACTTTACAATTTTTACAAACTCAAAAATTAAACTGTTTCTAAATTAATACTAGTACACAAATTTTTTTTTAATTAAAAAAATAGTAGAGTTTATAATTTAGGTCGTTTTAGAAATGTATCCATTGGACCATGTGCCGTTGCTGTTGTACTATTCGTTTGAATCGTTCGTTTTTGAGCCAATTTTTTCTTTGCTGTCGTTTTTGTAATAATAAGAGGTAAAGTAACTATCGGCTTATTTTCTTGTTGATGTAAATCATAGGCCATATGATAGTCTTCGTGCTGTGAAAATTCCCAACATAGAATATCTTTTAAACATTTTGAACATTGAACATAATCTTCTTTTGAATAATTCATTGCCGTTGAAGACGTTGTAGAAGTTAAATAGGGATCAAGAAATTGTTGAGGCTCAGATTTTTTCAAACGTGTTATAGATGGTTTGTCAAAAATATTATTTTGAATTGTTTCTTTAGACTCTTCATCAACAACGATAGCTACAAAAAAAGAAGCAAGTAGTAAAAAAAATCAAATATTTTCTCAGTTTAATTTTTATAATTATACTTTCTCGTTCTTCTTTATGAATTTCTTCTTGTTCATCTTTATATTTGGCAAAAAATGAATGTCCATTTGATACAGCTCCAAACAGTGTAAAATCTTTTACCATTTTTTTTCGTGGTTCTTCCACTGGTACATGACGCATTTTTTCAAAAAATGATTCACCTTCATAATCGGCCATCGGAAATTTTTTACGAAATTCAGGATCATCTCGAATTCTCTGCATCCGTGTTATAGATGAAGAACTTTGTTGTTGAATTCCATCTTGTTGATCAATTACTTCATCAATAGGTGCATCTTGCATAAAAATTTCACCACAATCCCAATTATCATCACTAAAAATGAAATAGTTTAGCCCATCGAATTAAGTTTTTCACTATAAGAAAGTAGTTTATGATATTACGTGATCAACAACATTTTCTAGTACATCATAAAAAATGTTACCATTTAATATAAAGCGATATGAGATTTGAGAATTAATGAGAGATCTCAACATGTATCTTTAACTTACTCTTCGTTTAATATATCATCATCATCATCAAATTCAATATTTGTTGTTTCAGACGATCTTGTTGTACTCATTATTTCTTGCTCATTTACCACTAAATAGAGATATAAATTGTTGTAGGATCATCAATACAGCAGTACGCTGAAATAGAGTCTTATAGAATTTAAAGGTATCCCTCTTTTCTGGCAAACGTTTTTTATCTTGTGTTAAACGTAGCCGTTTGTAGACGAGAGTCTGGACAACAAAATAAGACCATTCCATGCGTTCCTCGGCCAACCAAAAGTTATAAACTTTTTTTTTTTTTAAACTTTATCTCTCATCTCTCCAGTCCAATGGCACTGAAATCGGGTTACCCCATTGCATCTGTGTCAAGTCAGACTGAAAAATGTCAACTTTTGTAGTTTTGCTAGTTATTTTTGTTATCAATGCCTTTAAAAAAATTTTATACATCATCTGATAGAGCAAAGTGTTTTCTTCACAATGAAATCACCTCCCAATCTTGTTTAGCGGAGATATGAACATCGTCGTTAACGCCATTTTCAGCATTTTCGAATATCTCGAGAAGAAAAGTGTCGTTTTTGAAAAAAATTTAGAATCTGAGATAGGATATGAAGTATCTATCAGTGCTAAAAATTTGGCCTTTTCGAGGAGTCCTAATGTGACTGGATGAAAATCAGAGTCTCCAAAGAAACTTAAGGAAGAAAATGTCAGAAAATTCTGGGCAAAAATATACCGATTTTCTTTTTTGATGTTTTATATCTGATAGAAATTTGGATTCAATTGAACTTTGCCTCCACCTTTTTCAATAGAGTGAAAAAAGAGAGTACGAGGTATCCTTAAATTGAGAAATTGCATTTTCACTTAGATAACATTTTCGATGTTTTTGCTTTTTAAAAGTGATGAGATCTCTTCCTCTCGTTTTCTAATCTCAGTGATTTATCATCTTACTTTGTGTTGTTTGCTTTTGTTTCGTTAATTGTTTAGCAAATAATTCAATGACTGATGTTGTTTGTGAGCAATCATAAAATTTACTGGCAGATATGCCAAGATTAATAATTGCAGGTGTCCATTTATTTGTTGGTGTTTTGACAATGTTGAATCGTGTCAATAGTTTATAACATTCATTGACAAACTTTTCACATGAATATTCGGATATTGGACACGAACGAGCGTATGTCTCGTCATTTTCGGATGTAAATGAGACTGTTAATAGTTTGACACGCCGTTTATTCTAATGAAATAGAAAAGTAATCGATTATTATGCTAATGAAATCTGTGTGATCATGTCATGAGTTCTTTTTTTTTTGTTTATTAAAGATCTATCTTACTTCTATACGATCTTTTTCCAAACGATCAACAACTTCTTCGGCCAAATTTTTTAACCAGAGACGAACCTGAAAGCAATTAAACAATAAATAATGTTGAACATATAGAAAAAGAATCATTTTGTGATCACTGCACTGGAAATGACCGTTTGTATGCTCTACGAAACATAGGGAACTCGATAGAAAGACGTGAACGTACTATGATTCAAGATGGTACCCTTTAAACTGAGCTTACTTCGAATAAGAAATAAAGATTAGGTTTCATGCGACAGACTAGGTTATAGTCCACTAGTGATTCTAAAAGAATCAGTTCATAGCGGTACTTTTATTGGTGAAAATAGAAATAAAATAGCACTTCCTGTCTTTCATATCATCATCTTGTTTACTCCAGAAAACGTTGATTCTGTTTTCATTCTATATTTGACTCAAAGAGAAACTCACTCTTAAGGATAATAAGTGAATCTATTTTCAACACTAATTGGTCAAATTTCTACAAAATGGTAGTCTTGTTTTATTCGATTAGCGTAAATGCTTGAGCTTGAAAACTTGAGTTTTTCCAAAGTTATCTCGAAAATAGTGGTCAAAACGTAGATGTTACCATTTCCCAGACGTTTCTACCATTTTAAGTGTTAAAATAGCTCAGGTTGGTCTTAAAGTGACGAGAAAATTTGTGGCTCTGACTTAAAAGACCCAGATTTTCGAATTTTTTAAAGTTTAAGAGGTTTTATCTCAAAAGTTCGAAAAACACATTGCTAATTTTCCAGAAATCTTCGTTTTTCTCGAAAACTAAGACAAAATCAAAAATATGGCTCTGCTAAGTTACGGTCACAAGTCTTCTCATTGTTTCAAGATCAACTCGAACTTTTAACACTTAAAACAGAAGAAAACCTGGGAAATGGCAACACTTATTCAAAAAAATAAATTTTGAGAAAAACGCCGCACATTTGTTAATGTACTTTAGAACTTATAGAAGAATGCCAATAACTTTTTGACAGAAGATCACACCATTATGCTACCTCGTATTTTGGTGAAAAAAGGTTGCTCTACAAACCGAGATACCAGATCCAAAGCAAGAAAATAAAAGCCCAAAGTCAGAAAAATCTCAGAAAAAGTAGTTCAAAATCAGAAAATCAACAGACTTTCGAACAAAAAAGAACAGAAATGAGTCAGAGAAAGGCCCAAAAATCAGAATTTTTCTGCCAAAATCAGAAGATCTGGGATCTCTACAAATCGTAGGCGGTGGAGTAACGAGGTCCTATAGGCTTGAGCCTCACGAAGTTTTGAGAAAAAAAATAGCTTTTTCTTTGCTGAGAGCTTATCAGTTTTAGTTACAAGATGAAGCCAATATTTTAATATCGTTTTATGAAATAGGTAGCAAAAAACAAGAAAATGCACTCGTATTTTGCAGTTTTCAACGTCAAACTCCCATTTTTTTTGAATTTTTTGATTGAGATTTTTGCTAAAAAATTAAAGTAAAAGTTAAATAATTAGTCGTTTCAGTTTTTGATGCTGATTCCAAACGTGACATTGATTTTGCAAAAAAGAAAAATGAGAGTTTGACGTAAAAAACTGCAAAATACGAGTACATTAACTTGTTTTTTGCTACCTGTTTCAAAAACATTTATTTTCTCAACAACGAAACAATATTTTCTAAAACCGGTGCTTAACGTTTTTAGTGGGCCTGAGTCGATCATAACAATACTAAAATATTGGCTTCATCTTCTAACTAGAATGTGTTGAAGGTTTTACCGCGACTGGAAGAAACATTTCAGTTACGGGCGAAAAACTAAACTTTTTCATGGACTTACGATATTTAAATGGAACCCAAAATAGATTTTTTAGATTCAGTTTTTCACGTAGAATGACAATAAAATATTTTTAAAAGTTATCTAAAAGATTTACACAGAGATTCTGGCTTGTTTTTAAAAACTAGGTCGCCTTTTAATTATTTTAAAAATTTTGATTTTTTAAATTTTTAATCTCAACATTTTTTTTAAACGTTAAAATACATATTCTTACTCAGCTTGACGAACTCTATCCAACCATGTATAAATATTGCAAAAATAAAAAGCGCTGCAATTTTGAATTTCGCGCATCTTACATAAATGAAGAATATCTCAGTCAACACGCCAATAATCCCGGAGCTTTTTTTACCATTTTAACTTTGCGATAGTCTGCGAACTATCATTCTGTACTGCCAGGATGAGACTTTTTCTTAAATTCATAGTACCTTCGAGCGAGAAAAATGTTGAGCCCCACCAGATTTCATAAGGCTGCGACGTTTTTCGTGATTAGTTAGTCAGACTTACTTTATCTGTTGTGTCTAATCGCGTTTGTCCCGGAAAATTTTTACTAGCACCAATTGATTTACATAGTTGTCTGTTAACGACACTTCCTGTTTCGATACCACGACAAGCATTATACAGCCAAAAACTAAAATAAAAGAGAGAGTACATAAGAGAAAACAACTTTTTCACAAAACAAAACGAATCTTCTATTCTTCATCATACATTGATAACTTAGTTTAGTTTAATCTATTTAATTGACTAACTTAAATCCCACAGTGAGCAGCATAAGATCGCAAAGCATTGCACCTTATCCACCATGATGGAGAATATAAAATACCAGACAAAATAAATAACACAAATACGAAAAAAAAAAGTCTAAATATGTGAAAAAATTTTCGAAAAAAGAATCGGAAAAACTCTATCTGATATTTTTTCTTTTTTCACGCATTTTTCTATAAGAAACAATCGTCTCTTTCCTACTTTTTCATCTTACCCTTCTTTTTCTCCTAATGTTGTTTGTAGTTCATCGAGTGCATATTTTTTAATATCACCAATATAATTTACTTTTAACTTTTCCATTAAATGTTCACCAAATTTTCCACCAAGACTTTGTCTGAATAAAAATAAAAAAGAAAGAAAGAATTGAATCTGAAGTAATGTTTGAATAAATCATACAATTTTTTCAACGGCATTTTTTCAAAAATATTATCAACATCTGTCGGAGTTAAAATTGTCTGTTTCTTTGGCTTATTAAAACCACAACATAATTTGGCTAAAATCTAAACACAAAAACTTGTATTAGAAATGAGACCTGAAAACAGAACCAAAATAACAGAGAGAGATGATGTACTCGCTCTTCTTACTTTATTTCTTGCGATTCCAGCTGAGCAATTATATCCTGTTTGCTCTTTAATTTTTTCTCGAATATTTTCTACTAGATAGGCACCCAAAGCTAAATCATAATTATCTTCATTCATATCGTAACTATCTTGATCGTCACTATCTTGATCTTGACCTAACCATTTTCTTAAAACATCTCGACGCTCGTCATCTGTGACACTTGTGTAACCAGCTAAATGTGTTGTTGGTAATTTATTACCATCAACTTTAAATTTTTGTGCTTTTAACTGTTGAACATCATCAGTAAGATCCAAATAAGCTTCATCAATGCTCGCTTTTTCAACACATTTACACAATGAATTTAACACACGAAATACATCCGAACTTCCATTGCGATATCTGCACAAAACACAAAATACACTGTAAAATAGTAGAAAATCTGAAGCACTTTCACGAGAAAATTGTTTTATCTTCAATATCAACTTTTTATACAATAAAAAGGTATATCTGCACAATTAAAAAGACACATGATTCAACCTATCAGAAGAAAGATCTACACATACTTGGTTAGACACGCTTTTCCGTTGACTTCTTGAACATGGAATACATGAAAATCAGGACATAATTCTTTTGCAGTTTCACCCCGCATGCCACGTTTAACGCCAAATGCACGCGCTTCATAATTGACAGCTATTAAACTAGAACGACACCGATGATTAGAGTTGAAAGTGCATTTGTATAGCTTCTACTCACCCTCCTCCTTTCCATGTATAGTATTGTGCCACTCCACATGGTTTTCCGAGGAATTCAGGCGCAAGTTGTTGTTCAACTTGGACATAAAAACAGTCCATGTCAATTAAGGCTATAACACGATTCATTGTGAAGAACCGAAGAAAAAGAAAGAAAATTTTCTCTAAAACAAATGATGGAGAATATTTCATAGAACTGAGACACAAGTGCATTTCGTCATAACTACGACGTACGTATTTTTCAGTATATCAATAAAGCAAAAATAAATGAATTTAAAGATAAAGAAAATTTAAATGAATTTAAAGATAAAGAAAATTTAAATGATTCAGTTCATATTGAACAGTTTTTAGGGTGATAGTTTGTCATCCTAGACAGTGTGGTGTATAATTTGTTATTTGATCTGAATGAACAATAGTAAATAATTTCGAGAAGATTGTCTCGTATTTTTCTTGTTCATACTCGTTTTCAGTGCATTACTTGAGCAAACGAGCTCAATTTAACATTGTGAGTTTGATTAACTTAATAGTGAAGTATGGGACATCCTTTTAAGGATGCTCCATAGTTCACTATTAAGTTAAAAGGCTCTGAAAGATAATTGAAAACAGACCAGATGCGGAGAAACTAAACAAACAGAAGACAAATAGTATTAGAGAACTGCTTTCAACTAGAAAAGGTGAGGTTTGTCTCTACATGTTGATATTCTATTGAATATTCATACTACATCGAGGCCCTAGAATCAGTACAGCTGATGGTCTTCAGGGGGCTGTATCAAAAAAAACTTAAGTCTAACTTAAGTCAAAATTTGGACTTAAGTCTTCATTATGTGCACTTACGTGCTAATTTTATACAGTTAAGTGTGACTTAAGTCTAGACTTTGACTTAAGCTTTTTCGTGATACGACCCCCAGAGGCTAAAAGTTGGTTTCATTCACAAGACATATATGACTATAGTAATTTAGCAAACTTGTATATAGAAAGCAAACAACTGTAGGGCATTGAAGGTAAAATACACCAAACATGAATACAGACGTTTCTCTCAGCCATCACTTTTCCCCTTACAACATGAAATAAAGGATCGGCAAGGAGTACACTCAGACCTTATGTTTACGTCTGGTGTAATTTAATTAAAGGAAACTACAGTCACTCCACCTTAAACCGATGGAAGCCGCTCTGTCTCATGAATTGCGCGGATGCACTTGTTCTTCCTTGATATGAGTAAAAGTTTTGTAGATGTCGACGTTGGAAAACTTTTTTCTCGTCAAATTTACACTCAAAACTTAACATTTACAAAGAAATGATTGTAAATTTTGTGATTATATTTTGCCATGTCTTATTATATTCAATTCATATTGTGTGTATGTTAGGCCACATTCACACTACAAAATTTAAATGAGCAAAAACGAAGCTGATTGGTCAAAAAGTTAATTCTGAGTTAAATGATGATGTCCGAAACATCATTTAACTTTAACTCTCCAATCATAAATCAGCTCATTAACCAACAATACGGTTTCATTAGACAAGGAAACTAGCGGCAGTTCAAACATCTGACTCTCTACTCAATTTGTCTGTTTTGAGCAGGAAGTCAACTATAGAACGTGAATTCAAACCAGCCGGCTGTTAGCAAGCCGCAACCTTGGAGAATACGGAAGCCGAGAAGCAGGGGCCTGTTTCTTAAAAAAACTTAAGTAGAAAATCATACTTAAGTCAAACTTAAGTCCAAAAAATTCTTTGTCTTTTTTGACTTAAGTAGGATTTTCTACGTAAGTTTTTTTAAGAAACAGGCCTCAGTACAATTTTATGGGAAATTTCAAAATCTTATTGGTGTGTTAAAGATTTAGGTGTGAACGATCTCGAAGTTAACTTCGAGTTAACTCTGAAAAATTTGTAATGTGAACGTGGCCTTAGTATACAGTTTAACGATTCATGCTATCCGTCATGCATCATTGGTTAAAACTAGCCATAAGATTTCATATCAATCCTCTAAATTTTGCTTTATAAAAGCGAAATGTAAAGGCATTAATGTTTTGCTTATTGTCGATACTCACGTAATTGGTTTTATGGTTTTGCCGTGCTGAGTCTAAAGAGAGACAGAGAGGGGAAGAGAAAGATTGGTATTCTTATTTGTTTGTTTGTTTGTTTGTTTCCTTGCATAAATGGTATAAACGACTGTTTTGCTTTTGTAGAAAAGCAACTAAAATGCTGGCAAAATTTGCTCGTTTACCCTCCACGTCCTTATTCCGTCAATTTTCAACAAGCACTATCGTATTTCAACAATCTCATGCTGGTGCCTCATCAACTACACAGCAGTCAAGCGGCTCGGGTTCTGGAAAAGATCAACGTCAAGGACAACAGGGAGAGAAAAACGTCACTGATAAAGTGAAGGAGGGTGTGAAAGACGTTGTGCACAAAGCTAAAGATATATTAAGCGGGGACAGTGATGGAGGAGATCGAAGTGGTAGCGATAGTAAAAAAGGTAAGTAAAACATGTTTTTTACTTGTATCTTATCGTATTAACGTTTAGATTATTCTTATCAAAGTATCGAACGAAAAAACTTTTCTTTTGCTAGTACATGATTAGGCTAAATTTTAGAAATTTTCTGAAACATATCACTCAATTAAAAAGTGTCTTTCTCATACGACATCATTGAAACTAATAAATAACGAGATCCTTCTTCGATTTATTCTAGGTGGTAATGTAGTGAAAATGTCATCTGAACCAGCGTCGGCGTATTCGTCATATCCCGATTTTTCTCGGCGATTTGGTCCAACTGTTATTGATGGTGTTCGTGAAGGTATAGAGAATATTCAATGGCGTAAAGAATGGCAAGGAAAACGATTACTTCCACATGATCAATGGCCTGAACGTGATTTAGTTAATTATCCTCCGTATCATGTTAAAGATGCACCGTCGAAAGTTCGTTGGGGTTTCGTTCCAGACTCATGGTTTACATTTTTCTATGAGAAAACAGGTGTCACAGGACCCTATATATTCTTAACAGGTGTACTCATACATGGTTTTTCGAAAGAATGGATTGTTTTGTGGTATGATTTTAACGAATATTTAGCATTAGCAGTGGTCGCAGTTGTTCTCATGAAAAAGTATGTTTAGAAAAGGCACTTCAGTTCAACAGTGAGTAATATAAACGTCTTTGTTCTTTTTTTTTGTTTAGACTTGGTCCATTTTTAGCTGATTTCAGTTCATCTATAACACAAAAAGAGGTCGATATAATTGTGAAGGGTACTCAACAACAAAAAGCTCTAACCGGTTTGGCTATATCCATTTATGAACAACAAATTGAAAATGCAAAATCGATTGATCTAGCTACCGAAGCAAGAAAAGAAATTCTAAATATGCAATTAGAAATTATTTATAGAGAAAGAATGAAACAGATGTATGATGGAGTGAAGCGACGACTAGGTGAGTGTTAAATTAGTGTGTTAAATCAATCAGTTAATCTACTGACTATTTTGGATATTGTTAAAGTATCTCATGAGACTGACGTCTTCTAGAAGATAATAGATGCATTCTCCACTCGGCGGGCAGTTTTATTACGTTACACATGTGTTTGATCTCTTTTGTTAAATCAATTATTGTAGTTTAATTTCACTTTTTATACCTTACATTGTCTGTTTAAACAAAAAACAAACAGTTTAAAAATAATCATTTTTCGATCTAATAGTACGTGGACAAACGACATGGACTGCGTCAAAAAGTGATTTTTGGCCACTGAATTTGATTGGATCAAAAGTTCACAGAAATTCACTTTCAAGCTTTTAGCCATAAATCCAAAAGGTCGATTGAATTCTTCCAGTCAATTCAGAGAAAAAAGCAAAACAGCGCCCTCTGTATGAGTTTTCTCAGAATTGACTGGAAGGATTCAATCGACCTTTTGGATTTATGGCTAAAAGCTTGAAAGTGAATTTCTGTGAACTTTTGACTCAATCAAGTCAAGAAAATTATGATTGTTTTATACATGATTCAATACAGTTTGATGAGCTGATTCCAAATATGTAATTTATTTCCACTAAAAATAATTAAGTACTTAGAAAAACAAAATTTCTTGAAGTATCAGGGTTAGGAGATATCTTTTCGCGAAGTGTATGAAGAATCAAGAGAAAACCTTATTGCTTATATCATTTTAGACTATCAAATTGCATTACAAAATGCTCGTAAAGATTTTGAGCGTACAAATATGATTAATTGGATAACGAGTGAAGTACGAAAAGCCATAACACAAAAGCAAGAACAAGATATGGTACAACAATGTTTACAAGCATTAAAACAAATGGCGACCAACACCCGACAATAAACTCATTTTATTATCTTCTTCCCTTTCCTAGTGTGTGCGTTTTTGTCTCCGTAATTCTATTTTTTTTTCTATTTTGTCACTATAAATTAGAACATATTATTTTAACTTTTTTCTCACTTTATATGAAGTTTAAAAATAGGCTGTGTTTTTTCCTAAATAAAACAGTAGATTTATCAAACAGATGATGTACACACGTCTATTTTTCTTCAAATTAAACTTGGAAATGTTCTTTCTGTGCTATATCATTTAGTCTTAAGGACAAATTACGAATATGGTTGATTAAAATGTTATTGACTTGAAACGTTTCGATAAATTGCTTTATCTATCCTCGTCTCACTCTCGTTTAGAGAATTTTCATCCCTTATAAATCTTTGTTTTCAGTCAAAAATAGTAATAATCGGTCATAATAACATGTTTTCAATAGATTTTTTGTCCTATTCTAGATTTGTTGTGCATGTGATATTCCAAAATGAAGAAGTTGAATGTTCGCCACTTTGGTGTTGGTAGCTTAATGAAATATGCACCATTATTTTCATTGGATACAAAGTATAGTTCAAAGCTCTTAATCTACTTCTTCCTATTCAAATTCTCCTTCTATCTTTAGATATGTGTTTACAATTGGTGATTCGTGTGTTCATATTTGGAGTATAAAAACTGGCGAATGCATTCGACAAATAAATCAAGCAAAAGCAGATAATTCACCGATAGTGGGAATTTGCATTAATCCAACAAATAGATTGCAAGTATGTTAAACAAATACGGTATTGTACTCTATTTTTCATCTCATTTTAGTGAGACTATTATTTTGAACTGAAAGAAAAATGACTTAGATAACAATCAGTAAAAAGAAAATTTTATCTATCAAAATCTATTGACATTTGACTTAGCAGAATTTGTTTTTCCGTTTAGTTGTGTATCGGTGAACAGAATGGATTAATTAACGTATGGGATTATGAAGATGGAATTTTAATTCATGTACGAATTTTGTACGTCTTACTTGTAACCTCAATAGAAATACCGTATTCATTTTAGACAATTCAATTCGATTTTCAAATATTAAACTTAGTTTCAATTCAAAATAATTACATTTATCTCATTTGCAGAGATAAGAATGGTAAGAGTACAGGAACACAATGAAACGGAAGCTGATTGAATATAAAAGAAGATGATCACGACCATACCACGTAACCCGATCGAAAACATCATTGCGACACGATTTTTGCTATTTTCTTGTCTTTATATCTTGCGAAGAGACGAATGTCCAAACCTTTCGATTTTCTCATTTTATGAAGAAAAGTGTGCTTAACATGGTTCTTGGTTATGAAGATTTCGATACTGCTGAAAATTTTTTTTGTTTTCAAACAAACTAAATTCCCGTTTTGTTGATGTACCTCAATAACTAATAGCCATGGAGAGTTCTGTTATCTTCTTAAGCACACTTATTCCATAAAACGAGAAAATCGCAAGATTCGGACATTCTTCTGTTCGTCAGATCTAACGACAAGAAAAGAGTGAAAATAGTGTGTCACAATCATGTTTTCGACCGAATTACGTCAAATGGTCAATCGTTCACCAAAACGATGTGAACGTTTAGTAGTTTCTTCTGATATATTAGTTGTACTGTATACAATCCCTTTTTTTCCAGTGAATATAAAAGTAATTATGTTTAACTACTTGCTTCATTTTCTACTATTAGGTCATTCATTACGAATGTTAAAATCGATTCGTCCAACTCATACGACATCTATTGTACAAGATAAATTACCTTGTATTCCAAAACATTTATCATTTGATTTAAAAGTAAGCAAAGTTCAGTTAATTTTTGTATGCAGATGTGTGTTTTGTTTAGTAACTTTTTTAATCTCCCCTCCGTTATGTTCTTTCTATTAAAAACCAATCTTTTTTCGTGCAGGGTGAATTATGTTCGTTTATCGATGATAATGGTACAATATTATATATTTTACAAATTAAAGCAAATAGTCAATCTTATTTAAAACAACATCATCTCAAAAAAGCTAATTTACAACTTCATAAAAAATTAACATGTTGTACGACACATCCAACTGAACAATGTATCGCAACAGGGACGCAAAATGGACAAATTTGTTTATGGTCAGCATCACTACAATTACTCTCTTAATATTTTTGAAAAAAGTCCTATTCCTACTGTATGAAACTTGACCGTTTTGTCACTCGGGACGACTATGTTTTTTCCTAAAGCACTTGTTTAAAACAACACTCTGTACAAATTAGATGATAAAACAAATAACAATCTGTATTGAGACTTTTGACTGTATCCTGTTTAAAATAATGGGCGTTTACTATTTGTCTTTGTTTATTTATTTTAGGTATAATTTTTTAGATCGAGCTGAACCAACAATAAGTTTTTTACACTGGCATTCATTACCTGTGATATGTTTAGCATTTTCACCTGAAGGTACTGTACATTCAATAAAACAATGACTGTGGCCATTTTTTTTGAACAATTTTTGATTTGAAAATGCTTAGAGAGTAGTTCGCCATTCGTTATTTGTTGTTGATAACATAGTATCATCTTTTCGCCATTCGTCGGAGGAGACTTGATCACATTTTTTTTCTGAGACAAGAAAGTTTAAATTCTATTTCGAAAAGAGAATTCTTAAGAAAAGAACACTGGAAAATCCTTAAAAATCTCTGAAAATTCAAGTAAAAACATACTTGTTTTCTAAAAGTCCAGATAGTCTCGAGGGCCTCCTTCGAAATAAGAATCATCCGAACATTTCGTTTTTACATTGTTGAATGAAGTTTTACATGAACAAAGGTTTGCTGAAACGAGTCAGAAAAAGAACGGTCATCTTACCTAATTCAAATTTTTAGCAGAATTTTTGTTCTGAAGACACTCGAGACTATCGGTACTTTTAGAAAACAAGTGTGTTTTTTACTTAAATTTTCCGAGATTTTTAAGGATTTCCAGCGTTCTTTTCTTAAAAATTCTGTTTTTGAAATAGATTTTTAAAGAAATTTAAAAAATGTAGTCAAGTCTCCTCCGACAAATGGCGAAAAACCGAACTACTCTGTAGGTATTTCAATCAAAAATTATTCAAAAAAATAGTCACGTCCTCAGAGAATAATAACAGTATGTATATATCTGGTATACTCTCCTACTTTAGGCTCCTATTTATTATCTGGCGGCCACGAGTGTGTATTAGTCAAATGGTTTTATCGTACATCTCAGACAACATTTCGTCCACGTTTAGGTGCACCATTATTGCATATTCAATGTTCACAAGATCAAACAACATATGCCATTACACACGAAGATAACTGTACGTATGATTAGATCTCTATTTTATTTTATTTCGAATATTCATTTTACTATACATAATTGAGTGACATAAATTAACTATTAAAAAGTTTAAAACACGCATAAATGCAATATGGTATACTCTCTACGCTATCTTGTGTGTGAGATGAGTTGATATTTATTTTTAAAATGATTCTCCTTTAATATTTTTAGCTCTACACATAATTGGTAGTAACTTTACAATTCAACAAACTATTGGTGGATTAAATAATTGTTTTTTATCAAAACAAAGTGACGTACAAGCCGGTAAGAAAAGAAAATTTCTTAACGTAAATATCCTACTATATGCCTCATTTTATCTTCTCTTTTATAGGTATTCACATATTTAACCGTCAACATGCTCTAGTTATGAATGGAAAACCTGGTCATTTGCAATTTATATCAACAGATGATGGAAAATTGTTATATAATGTAAATGAAAAGCATTTTTGATGATTTTTTATTGAAACATTTTGTATTTTATAGTTAGAAAAGATAAATAAATTATTCAATTTTTTAAATTTTTTATTTGTAGTTAGATATTGTTGGTGAAAATTATGTATCTTCAAATGAGTACGATGAACAACCAATATTTACCGATGTTAAAAGAATGGTATTTGACTCTACAGGTATGTGAAATAGACTAGTCAAGAAAAAAATATAATCTGAGTTTTAAACAGCATTAAGAATAAAAATTAAAAATAATAATTTCATGTTTTTCTTAGAAACGTGGTTAACAACATTTGAAGAATGTTTCATATCTCCAAACGAAAATAATAATGATTTATCAGTAGAAAGAAAATTAAGATTTTGGTTATTTAATCAAACAAATATGCAGTATGTATTTTAAAACTATCGTATTGTTGTACATTGTTCTTCTCTTCTTCTTTTTTTGTCTAGATTTCAATTGAATACATCTATTAGTTATCCTCATAGTCAAGATACAATCGCACAAATATTGTTTCATCCTACTCAACTAGAATTTATTTCAATTGGACATGATGGATTTTTTAAAATATGGAATTATATTGACGAAAATATCATTACAAGTAAGCTTTTTGATTTCTCACATTTGAAGTAAAACACAACAACAACGATTTATTTGTTTAAGAACGTGCTGCTCATTGGCGTTGTGTAAATGCTTACAGTCATCGTTCTTATTCTGGTAATTCCTTATGTTATTCATTGGATGGTTCTTTATTAGCCTGTGGTTTTGATCATATATTAACTGTGTGGAATTCACCATCTAAAAACGAAGATTATGAGTTGTTAAATGTTTATTCTCATTTTGACTCGACAAATAAAATAAAATCTCTTCATTTTTCATTACTAAATCTATATAAAGATCATATTTTTGTGTGCCATGAGTCTTGTGTTAATATTTGGAATGTAACTAAACACGTATTTATTCAAACTTACAATTGGAATGTTCAAGCTATCACAATGGATCCAAAATCAAAATTTATTGCTATATTTGAAAAAAATTATCGTAAGTTGCTTAATTAATCAGTTTTCCGATGTGTACTACATTCTCAATATTATTAATTTTCACATATAAACCTCGAACGTTTTCGATACAGATTTTAAGAAGAAGTCTTATCTTTTTGTTAGTAACTGTTTTTACTGATTACTAAGCATAGAGCAAGCACATCTTTTCCATATACCAATTATTTTATTTTTTATGAAACATTTAACAGACTTATTCTAAAGATTCACTGCACAACGATTGCTCTGAAAGCGCGTTACTTACTCCAATCGAATCGACTCGAACAAAAAAAGAAGGATAGTTTACACAACTGAATAGAGATTAATTATTTACTTACTGAAATGTCAATTTCTCAGTACCATCGCTTAGTTCAATATAAGACGAAGCGTTTTATTTTTGAGTATTACTCAGATGAGTGAAAATATGTTTTTACTGTTCCAAAAGTTTTTAGTGAGTAACTAATTGTTTTTTAAATAAGGCAGAAGATTTCTTCGTATTTGAAATCGTTGTCAACTTCTAATTTGTTCGTTTGTATTTGTTTAGTTCATTTTTTCTCATTTGATGGTAAAATTCAAACAAAAAAGAATCCATTGTTTAAACGAGTAACCGCATGTCGATACATTCCATATTCACAACAATCAACTTCTTCTTATCCACCTATTAAACACTCAAAACTTGTCTTTTATATACCTGGACAGGTAATATTTAGCTCAAATTCACTTGTATGTTTTTAATTTTGTTTGATTTGTTGTTGTTGTTTTTCTAGGGCTTGAAATGTCTCGACGATCATTCGATAGATGAGAATGGTAAAAGTGCTTTAATAAAATCATCGTTAAATCAAGAAACAGCGTCAACTATCGCGGCAATTATACAAAATTCAAGAGGAGAAAAACGAGAAATAACAAAACTATTTTATCAAGGACAAATAACAAATGATAATGAACAAGTACGAAATAGAGATTTTATTTACTTTTATTTTAAACAAAAAAAAAATAGAAATTAGATATTGATGTAAATATCGTCCCATTTATGATATTCATAGTATATTTTTTCTACTAAAGAGAAACATTTCATATTCTACAATCGTAGATCGTTTATAATATGGCCTATTTTTTGTTTACAAATAGTTGTTATCAACTCCAGCCTACTTGTTACCATCAATTGATTTATATTGTACGGCCGCATTAAAAAGAATGCTTATACCAGTCCAAAAAACCCAACAACATGAAAAGTAAATATCTACATGCTAAATATAGAATGTAAAAGAAATTTATTATTAATTATTTGATATTTTTTTTGTTTTTTTAGAATGATTACCACGAGTGATGGAGAAGAAATTGAGAATGGCACTGATGATGATCATTTATCAACAATGTCCGTTGATGAGGATATCGAGCAATTAGAAACATGAAATAATTGTTTATTTCTTAGTTGTTTTTTCGTTATTTTTTTATTGTTATTATTGTTGTTAATTTGTACCGTTTTTTGGAAGAAAACAAAGAAAAACTAACACACACCTTTACATGAATAATATTTTTAAATTTTATCCTTCTTTTGATAATGAGTCATGTTGAGAGAAAATTTATCGTTCATACATACACAAACACATGTTAAGCCTTATAAGAATCAAATGATTGATACACTATTTTAGTAAGCATATTTAAATTTTATTTTTATTGTAACGTAGCAGAGGTGGGCAATGGTTAGACTTGGATTTGAAGATCTTTTTATCAAGTTCGTTTGAAGTCCAAGAAGTTAAAATCTATTACATTCAAACAATGGAATGAATATAAATAATTTGATATCAAATTTATGAATGTTTTTTTTGTCAAATATACATCTGATTTATTTACTCCTCATATGTGACAATGACGTAGTGTATAGTGCAGAAATTACTATGAAAAACCTTCGATTTGGGACTTGTCCACCTCGGGTAAAAAAAATATGTGACTTCAGTTGTCGATGGTCATGATGATGTATCATAATTAAATGACGATATTAAAACTAAATACATTTGTATGAATATGCATAAATTAGAAAGAAAATAAAGATAAAAATAATGGGTAACTATGAATGATAGTACGATACTCTTTTCAATTAATTAACTACGTGAGAAGAATATCCTTTTCTTCTTCATCTTTTTTTTTTTTGTCTTCTTGATTGAAAGATATATGTGTTTAATTTATTATCTTTCAAATTGTTATGTCTGTTGAAATAAGAATAGATGTATGTGATTTATTCTACGTATATATATATATACGTTATGTTCACAATCAAATGGGTGTCATTTTTCTTTAGAAAATTTAGATTGATGTTAAAAATAAAATAGCTTCTCTTCCTATTGAAAAAACAAAAAAAGAAAAAAAAAAATGAAGTACAAAGTTCATTTGATTATTATTGGTAAGACTTTGACCTTTTTCCATTTATATAAATATCGAAAATATCGATATTAGGAAACATTTACACTTTGGTGGTATTTTGAATATGAGGAGTGACATACCGTCTCTTATCCTAAGGCGATTTCTCTTTTCTTACTTTTCACTTTTTACTCATTTTTAAAACAAAATTATTTTATTCTCATATATACATATAGTACATAGAGACTACTATACAGTAGACTACATCCCTATTTTTGTTTCTTTTTCGTATTTCTTTTTTCGTTCTCTTATATTATTCATAAAACACTCGAATGGATGATCATTCAATGTCATTCTCTATCAAAAGCAATCGAATAATTCCATGAATTTGAAGAAAAAAAATCACACCCAATTCTTCAAATTAGAAAAAAAAATAACAAATGACTAGTAAAATAATGTATTATATATCATGACTTTAGTGTGATTAAAAAGAATCTCCTTCTCTTTCACTCGTGTTTTTCCTTTAAAACTGTCGTCGTGTCGTGTAGTATAACTGTTATACAATATGATTATTATGTTAACAATTTTTCTTGGCTTAATTAAAAGACATTAATTAATTGATTTTAAATGAAATACTTAATTACACCTATATATTTCTAATATATTATTATTATTTTTTTTTTGTTTTGTTTTCAATATTTATCTATAGTTAATTGAAAATATTTTTCTTTCGTCTATATATTATCAATTTTACCGTCACACACCTCATTGCTCATATATTGTCCTATTTCGTTTTTTCTTACTCATATGTAACACGTCGTTGTATACTTTATACATGAATATATAGATATATATATATATATATTTTCTCTCTCTTTTGTAAATAGATAGATGTATCAGGGAGAACAACAGCTGAATATTATAAGATATATACGATATCATGTGTACAACAACAATAGTCAAAATAAACAATGAAATAATCGAAATATTACACTATTTTTATTCATTCACTGTCACAAATGTTGTTCGTTCTTCTTTTTTTCTCCAATAATAATGTGCGGTTATGAAAAAAACATTATTTTTTCGAAACAAGAACATAAAATATGTTTATACACGGATAGACAGAAGAAGAAGAAAAGAAAAAAAAATTGATTCTAAAGTACAAATTTTAACTATTCTTAAAACGACTATAGTTTTATTTTTATTTTAGATAATATACTTCTATATATACTGCGTTTTTAATGGTGTAAAACGTAAAATATTTTGTTGTTTATTTATTAATCTCATTTTTAACATTGTATCCACTCATACAAAAAGTTATTCAACGTAAAAAAGAAGAAAATTTGAAAAGTATGTTATATGAATTCTGTCATTTAGATTTTTATTCCTATATAATGAAAATATCGATGAGATTGATCTTTTTTTTTCTTCTTCTGTATACTTTGATTCCTATTAGTCGTTTGATACTGAGATTTTGAGAGTGAAAGTCAAAAACTGCGCATATTGTAGATAAAACAATTGAGAGAGTAGCATCTTTTCTATTTAATCTCATTTTATTATGTTTATTTAATAACTAGTCGATCCCTAATGATCGGCTACCATTAGGGATCGATTTATAAATAAAATTGATTCAAAGTATAGTGTAGTTAGTACAAGAGGCGATAAAGTAAACATGAATGAATGTCATTAAGTTAAAATGATCCGAACTCTTTGACAAAATATGACTCCATGTGTACCAAAACAAACACAAATTGTACTTTAAACTACAAATTTTTCTTAAAACTAACAGTTATATAGTATATTTAATCTGTCATATCATTTAATTTATGGTTCTTTTTTGTTTTATTTTGTAGGATGCCTGACTTGTCCCGCATTTTCGAGTCGGCATTAAATACCGCGTTTAAACGTTTTCTTGTGACTATATTGAAGACCACATTAGTTTGTCTCATTGCATTCTTTTTTGTACAAATTCCCACTATTGGGCGTTTCTTAATGACAATTGGAAAAGATGATGATCGATCAAAAAAACAAAAAAGATTGAGAGTAAATAGATAATCAATAGCTATTGTTCGATTGTAATACGTTATTTAAATCATTTATTTTAGGCTAAAATAGTTGATAAGAATGATCCAAGTAGTCCATATCGTGCTGTTGAAGTAGTAGATGAATTAAAATATATTCCTGAAGATGGTATTCATACATTAGCCGATATTCCAGATTTGTAAGTAATAAATTTATGATCTAAATCAGACATATTTTTGCAATTCATTTTGTCAACGTAAATATTTAGAACCATTAAACGTTTTGCTGATAGAGAAACATTGGGAGTAAGAGAAATATTGAATGTTGAAGATGAAACACAACCAAATGGAAAAGTATTTAAAAAAGTATGTAAGAGATTCTATTTTTTTGAAAATTTAAAATCGACAGTTTAATGTCACACAGTTTAATTATCATACTCAATGGATGGAAAAAACTACGCTCTAAGAAATCTTTACGAGCATTCGTTTAAAAAATAAAAATTTATCAATCATAAAAAAACAACTTTATGATACTTTTCTAAGATTTTACTGTGCTTCTTTATTCTTCATTTCAGTTTATTCTTGGTGAATATAAATTTACTACCTATAAAGAAGCGCATGAACATATCTTAGCAATTGGAAAAGGTTTATTATCATTGGGACTGAAACAGGGTGATAGAATTCTATTATTTGCTGAAACAAGACCAGAATGGTTATTAACAGCATTTGCTGCATTCAGACATGGAATCACAGGTATTATGCTACAAACTGTTAAATAAATAACAACAGTATATTATTTTGACTATATATTTTTCTTTCTTCATAGTTGTTACTTTATATTCAACGCTTGGCGACGAAGCAGTTAGACATGGTATTACGGAATCAGAAGTTGAAGTTATTGTTACATCAACAGAACTTGTTCCAAAACTAGAAGTGAGTAAAATGATCAATTTTTATGGTAACGTTTTAACTTTTAACTGTTTCAACTAGACAGTCTATATGAAATAAACTGTTAATTGTTGAATTTATCAACAAAAGTAGAATCCATTATATTAATTTGTATTTTGTTTGTTTTTGTTTTAAAGAAAATATTAGAAAAGACTAAAAAAGTTCATCATGTTATTTATTTTCCTGGTTTCAAACAAATTCATCCGACAGATAAAAATGATATTGAATTTCATAGTTTACAACAATTAGAAGAGAAAGGAAAGCAAGCAAACATTGGTACGTGGTGTTTATATTTTTCTTCTTATCCTCGATTTTATCGTTCGTTTTTTGTTAAGATGGTTTCATATTGAATAAACGTCCAAAACCTCAAGATATTGCTGTAATTATGTATACAAGTGGAAGTACAGGAGCACCAAAAGGTAAAAATTATATAGTGTGACTATGTTATTAGCGATAATATTGTTAATCCCTGTTTAGGTGTATTAATTACTCATGAAAATATTATTGCTGCGATGACTGGTCAAAAAGAACGTGTATTTCCAATGGTTGATTTAGAAACACATGTTTATATTGCTTATTTACCGTTAGCTCATATTCTGGAATTATGTTGTGGTAAACATTTTTCCTTGATTTTTATAATTTTTATATTAGTCTAGTATACCGTATAGTGACGTTTTCTGTTGTTAATTAGTTATCATCAAGATGGTTTGACTGTCACCTATATCACTCCAAAAAATATTGAATAAAAGAACAAAACATTGTACTATAATATTTAAATGATTTCTTTGTTGTCTTCTGTATTTAGAATTATTAGTGTATTATTCTGGTGTGAAATGCGGTTATTCGTCACCTCAAACTCTCACTGATCAATCAACAGCCATTAAACGCGGACAAAAAGGTGATTTACAAGTACTGAGACCACATCTGATGTCCTGTGTACCGGTAGGTTATGTCTATTATATTTTTCTTTAATATAAATTAATTTTATTCTTATTATGTTCAGACAATTCTTGATCGTATTCATAAAACGGTGAATGAAAAAATCAATCAAGCCAATTTTTTTCAAAGACATTTATTTTATTTATGTTATAAAATTAAAGTTAAACGATTAGAAGAAGGATTGGACAGTCCACATTTAGATAAGTAAGTTTGATCATTACTTCTGATTTTAATTTGATTTCAAGTCTACATGATAGTGTTTACTAATTTTGAAGTCTTTTTTCAAATAAATTGAAGTCACTAGAGTCAATGAGTATAAGCTATCTTTCAGTTTATAACATTATTGTTTGAGAATTTTATCGCCATTTAGTGATTCTAATTCAGTGTTCAAAATTGACTAATTGAATTGTTAGAATCGTGAAAGTCACCATGCCTTTAATCTTCTCGTCACCTCATAGTTTTTACATTCGTGATCATATTATTTTGAATATATTGATTAATTAGAGACCTTTTTTTTTATCTGTAGTTCTCCTCTCTATTTCTAGTCTAATATTTAAAAAATTTAATCAGCTGGTATTAGGTGGTCGTGTTAGAACAATGCTGTGTGGTGGCGCTGTTTTAAGTGAAGATACACAGCGTTTTGTTCAAGCTGCACTCTGTATAACATTATTTCAAGGATATGGACTTACTGAAACATGTGCTGGAGGAAGTATAGCCGATCAACATGATATTTCAGTTGGAAGAGCGGGCTATCCTCTTGTTTGCTGTGAAATGCGACTAGAAAATTGGGATGAAGGTAAGACAATTGATTATCGTCTTTACTTGACTGTTCAGAATTCTCAAATTTAAGTATGAATCAGTTAATGTTATATAATGTTATTTATATGTATTTCATAGGACAATATCATAATACAGACAAGCCAAATCCTCGTGGTGAAATTTTAATTGGAGGCAAAATGGTAGCCGTTGGGTATTTTGCTGAAGCAGCTAAAGAGAATGTGAATTTTAAAGAAATTAATGGTACAAGGTATTTTTCAACAGGAGATATTGGTGAAATATTTCCCGATGGAACAATAAAAATTGTTGGTAAGATCAATTAAAAAACAAAGTAACGTAAAAAGTAAAATATTTTAATCAAAAAATTTATTTAGATCGTAAAAAAGATTTAATCAAATTACGAGGTGGTGAATATGTTTCGTTAACAAAAGTTGAAATGGCTATTGGAAAAGTTCCGATTGTTGAAAATTGTTGTTTATGTGCCAGTTCATCTGCCGAATACACCGTTCTCCTTGTATCACCAAATCAAAAGAATATGACTGTATGTATTTTGCACGAGCAATGATACAATATACTCATATTTCTAGTTCTGTTCTAGTCTTATACCGAAAAACATTTCGATACAAAAGAGTGGCAAAAATTAATTGACGATGAAGAATTTGTCGGTCAAGTATTAAAAGATGTACAGGAGGCATGTCGAAAAGGTAACAGTATAACTATAACAGAAAATTTTATTAGAACACATTTTTTTCTCTTTTTTCATGTTAATTACTACTTTTTCCTATTTAGGTGGTATTGAACGTTTTGAAACACCTCAACGCGTAAGAATAGTTCCTGATGCATGGACACCTGAAACTGGTTTAGTCACTGATGCATTGAAATTAAAACGTAAAGCCATTGAACTAAAATATCAAGATGATATTGATACGTTATACAAAGATGAGCCAAAACAAAAACAGAATAAGAAAGGTGGTAGTTCTCGGACAAAATCATCTAATTCAAATGAAACTAACGACAATGATAAGAAACAAAAATCGTCTAAAGAAGAAAATAAAGAAAACAATAATCAGAAAAAAGATTCATCAAAAGAAGATAATGAAAAAAATGAACAACAAGCAAAAGAGCCAACAGATGTTGCTCAAGATGTTATCGCAGACAAATAAAAATGATATAAAAAAATGTTTCTGTTTTGTGTTTACGAAATATTTTATATACTTTGTCTGTTTTACATAACTCTATTTCTCCATTAACGTTTCTTTTGCATTGCTATATAAAAATGTTTTTTGAATGTATTCTCATTGTACATACTGTATTTGTTAATGGATTTTATTACCATGTTTTTGTTTTTTCTTTATAATAAACTCAGCAATTTTCCTTCTTCTTCAATTTAAGAAATAATTCTCAAAAACTACATTTCTTCAGAACGTAAATTTTTTGCTTGTATGTCCAATTTTTCAACGTTTTTGTTGATATGTCTTGTTCCGATGTAAAATAACGAATAATGATTCTATGAAATTTCCATTTTAACAAGTTGATTATAAAACAAAGGATAAATGTGCAACATTTATGACTTTCACGTTGTACTTTATAAACTGAAGTAAAATTTGATATTTGCTAACACGTTTAAACACATGTAAATAATAATAAATGTCCACGCTTTTGCTTACTAGTTTTTTTTTTAATCAGTTTATTGTCAAAACTGATTATGTAAACATTGTTATAGATACTCATACATTGGTATGTTTGTTTCATTAATCAGTTTTGATTTATTTTTTTGTTTGTTTGTTTGTTAATGTTTTTTTCTCTTTCTATGGTCCACTACACTTTATGTTTTTGTTGTTTCATTTTCAATAAGAAATAGTTAATCATGGATTCTGTAATATCAAAATGATTGTCCACAAAATGCACACATAAGTGTTTATGATAATAACAATAATACACATATAGATCTGTTATATTTGTCAGCTATTGTGTTGACCAAGTATTTGTCAACGGTTTTTATTTAAATTTTTTAAAAAATTAGTAAAAAAGTTGTGGAATTATTTATTTCTATTTGTATTTACACGTACTAGTTTAATATATCGTTCACTTTATAATCTCAATTTAAGACTAAATTCATATGACAAATATATTGTCAAATATGCATAGACAGAGAAAATTAATTATTGTGGTAAAATAAATATCTTCTATAAATCTGTACGAGTTTTTAATTTAAAATAAAAATATTAAATCAAATTG